TTCCTGTTTGGCTGGAGGGGAATCTCTCTGATTGGCTGCCTGGTTCAGATGCTCTTCATTCAGTTTTCAGGGGCTTTTCATTCCACATTGTTGGTGTGGATGGCACTGGACCGCTACTTTGCCATCTGTTCGCCACTCTGCTACCATGAACGCATGGCGTTACCACGATTCCTCAAATTAGTAATTCCACTTATTATTAGAAACATCTTCCTGAATACAATAATGGTGAGTCTGGCAGGATCATTGTCATTCTGCTCTTCAAATGTGATAAATCACTGTTTCTGTGAGCACATGGCCTTAGTGGAGCTGGCCTGTGAAAGCACTGCCAAAAACAACCTGGTTGGGCTTTTGGGTGTCTTCCTCGCCTCTGTAGCAGACTTCATCTTCATCAGTTCTTCCTATGTGGTCATATTCACCTCTTTGCTGAGTTCCAGTAAGTCGAGTGTTAAAGCGCTCCACACTTGCGTCACTCACATTGTGGTAATGACCGTCAGCCTGGCCTTCGCACTTGTTGCTTTCCTGTCATATCGAATCAGAAACGGTCTTCCTGCTGCTGTACGGGTTTTCTTTAGTATCATGTATGTGTTGTTCCCAAGCTGTATCAACCCGATCATCTATGGCATGAGAACCACTGAGATTCGACAGCACATCATGAAGACCATGACATCCTGTCACTTCGTGCGAACTGTTCCTCATTCTTACAAAAACTATTAAAAATCTGAAATGTAAAATGTCAATTTAATGAGGAAAACAAAAATAGGTCAGAATTTTGTAATGTCAAAAATGAAAAAGCTCATGGAACGTAGAAATTAAGATGAACTGTTTTAAAATTATGTGATGCTTGATTCTGTTGATTCTTGATTCATCATCAAATCACCAGCTGTAAGTCTTACAAACTTGGCTCTAGAGAGGAGTGGGGCTGTCAACTGGCCAACACCTGGTGTCCCTTTAATGGCAACAGGAAACAACATGGTTTATGCTTTTCATAAAACCCCAAAAATCTCAAGACCTTGATGATGCTTTCAGATGAAAATTATGAGCTTTCATCTAATGGGTTTGATATGGCACAGCGGCCATTTTGCATGTTTCATCATAAAACAGGAAGTTGTAAATTAAGCAAACATTTTCCAATCTGCCCCAAACTTGGCATGCTTCTTCATCGTCCTGGCCTTTTGGCACCTGCATGCCAGAATGGACTTATGGTTATAGCTCCACCTACTGGCCACAAGAAATGACATGTTTTTCACTTTGATGTACACCTTCCAGCCCCTTCCTACCCCATCCATATCAAAGTCAAGACCTGGATGATGCTTACTAATGAAGATTGTGAGTTTACATTGAATTATGTTACCTTGGAGAAACAGGAAGTTAATGTAACTTCTGTGTACCTTGTCCAGACTGCCCCAGATTTCATTCGTTTCATATGGCCCCAGGCGTGAAGGCATCAACATGCCAATTAGGTTAATTTATACCTGAATTTTCAAACAAATGTGCCATGCTATCACAGCCACTGTTCTCATCTGAAAGAGCCTTCTTGATTGCTCATAATCTCTGCTGCCTGGGTAGAATCTTTCTGACCCTGATTAGCACTTGCACATTGTATTAAACTGACTTTCTTATCTAGTTTACACTTGTGCTCCCTGCCAAAAAGATGGGAGACCTCTAATATGTTTAAAGAAATGATACCCATCATTAAACTCCACCAACTTCTTCAGAGATTCCCCATTCTTCAACAGATCATCACTTGGCTTTTGGGATGTACAACCCCTCATTTCCTTTTTGTAGTGCAATAGATATATTTGTCACAACCTGTTCAATCTCAAACAATCCTGTTATTGAAATACGGCGACAATGTCAATTGATATGGTCGACTTTTATTCTATGTATAATGTCTCTATGGATATAACACTGGGAAGCATTTGGCTTTGTTTGTATTTTCAGAAAGCAATTTAATATGATTATTCCCTTCAGCTGGTACCACATTCAATATATCATCAAAATATTGATCCAGTGATTCCTGACCAATCTCAACAGGTATAATGCATGTATCCTGGAATATACGATGTTGCTATCTTTCATGAAAAAGCTTATCTTCACATCTGTAGATGCTTCTCCACTTTTTACATTAGTATCACCCTGCTTTCCTAA